AATGTACAAGTATGCTATGCTGCCAGGACCTGTGGCTCTGCACATGCAATAATAATAAGAGACTGAGCTTGACCTGCTAGTACTATTCTGACTTCTCCAGTGACTGTTCCAGAAGGGGAAGCAAAGATTAAGAAATGGGCTGTATTTTTTAAATAGAAACTTTCCTTACTTCATATGCCATAAATTGCCTCTTTTGGTACAGACAATGTTCTACAGCACAATGAATACAGAAAGGACAACAGCAATGCCACATACATGTACATGATGTTTGCATACATGTGTCAAGATGGCTAAAATAATGGGCAGAGCCTGTGCACTACTACCACCAAATGCTCCAAGTTGGTTTTTATCACTGTCCTTTGTAAACGTCCCATAGAAATAAAAAGTAGCAACCACTAAGGCTTTTACTGCAGTTACTTCCACAAAACCAAAACTTATCAAACATTGAATGTTTTGTAAAATCATAACTGTGTTTCAAAAGAAAGAACAGGGGGGAAAAAAGTAAAAAATACAGAAACATCCAACTTAAGCATCTTTGGGATGAAAAGTTTTGACTTTTCACATAAAAATACCATTTTGCTTAGGGTACTTTCCTGTATTGTAATAATACAATTCCACAAAGAGACACAATATCAGTGTCCTAAGATGGAATTTCTCTCGAAAAATTTCCTTTTAAAACCATCAAAGCATTTGACTTCTATTTCCGTTTAGAATGAAGCCAAATTCCTCAATCCGGATGAAACAGAGCATTTGTTCTCAGCCCAGCTCAAGCAGTGTAAAAAAGGCAGAAGCCAGAAAAGACACAAGTGACCTCCAAAACCAAAAAGATGAAAACTTGTAAGAAAAAAAAAAGACACAAGAGTTCCCTGTGCACAGTTAAAAATGCTGTGCTTTCTCCCTGGTGCACAAGACATGAAACACTTGCGAGAAAAAAGCAGGGAGGCATATGACTAGAAGCCCTGTAATTGTGACTTCTCTATAAGGAGAGGCTAGGCAGATGCCCTACCTGACAGCAAGAAAATCAGTTCATCCCTGCACACATCAGTTTTCCATGCTATTAATCAAACTGACTGCCCTCACAAAGTAAGTTTGGAGACTCTCTATTAGTTAATGTTCGTAAATGACTGTGCAAACACAAGGTAGTATTAACCAGGGAACAGTCTTTGTTACACCACTATTTGTTAAACAACCAAGAGCCAAATTTCCCTCTGAACATTTACAAAAGGGAAGGCAGCATTAGTGCTCCACAAGGAGAAAACTACAAAGAACAGATTTTCAGTGCATGCACTTCTCCTTGAAATAACTGTGTTAAAAGCACTTTACTTAAAAAGCACGATGATAGTAGCATCCTACTAAATATAGATGACTCACCACAATTTAGTAGTGAACATCCCTAAAGTGGACCATTACATTATTGCTTAACCTGCTGCATAAATTTAAGCATTCTCCTGTGGTTACAGTTTGCACCAAGACACTCAAGACTACTACCAGCATCCGCTGACCTTCAGTGGGTCACGAGGTCTCTCTGGGTCTCACTTTCTCCATCTGTACTATTGATATAAGAATAAAAACACTACTCCACAATGAAGGCAGGAAAAAAGGATCCCTAAGTTTCTTAAAGAGTTGTTTATACCGTACTTTGTATATCCGTATTAGTACCGAGAAACTAAATATAGCTGCTCTTGAGGCACTTTGAGATCCCTTGAGAATGAAATCTTATAAAAGAAAATTGTGGTTTAGGCAATACTGAAGAAACAGAGATAAAGAATTGGTTTCCAGAATAAAGGAATGATGCCCACTTAAGAGATGCAAGAAGTAGTTAATGCATCTGTGTTTACCGCTGGGGACCAAGGTCAGGTCGTGAGCAAAATGATTTATCTACACGTCACAAAACCACACAGCTTGACACAAATGGCAATCTGTTCCAAAAAAACTGCATAAGCGTGGAAGGGCGAAGGACTGACACAGTATTCTCTTGCTAAGGGCTGAGGACCTAGTGCAGGGCTGGAAAGGGTACGCGGGCTAGCACAAGGGTGTTGCAAGGCCAAAACGCTTCCAGCTGCGAGAATCCCAGACCGACAGGAGGGTGACTTCAGGTGAAGACTAGAAAAGTCACATGAAAAGTTGTGGACTTGCTGTTGCATTAATACACTGCTGCCAAGCACCCTCGTCCCCACACCCTACCCTGCTCTTGCAAGATCCAGCTGTGGTGGACTGTAACGCACTGAAATCTCCCCTGTTGCAATACTATGTCACAGGATCCAAACATATGCAGTTAAAAAAAAAGTCAGTTCTGCAGTCTAACTGTACCCAATGTGTAATTTCTACCACATTTGATAATTTGCAGTATGCTATTTCTGGCTACATAGCAGGATTAATTAGCACTCACAGGTTTGGTTTCAAAGCTCTAAACAGAATTCCCTCCTATCTTTCCCTGAACTTCCCCAGGGAGCTTGAAAAAATATTATTTCCTCCAAAGTTATTAAGTTCATAATGCTTTAGAGAGAAAACATAGATGCTGCCCCTGCCCCAGACCATTAACCATGGATACAACAGGCCCAGAAAAAGCAGACATCTAGTGCCAGTTACAAAGAACCATTGCTAGTCTACAAATTGCACAACCACATAAGAAAATAGGACTATAATACTTGATTGAAATTTCGCTACAAAGTCCGACTGTATTTTATCATAGGTATAAAGTGTGAAAATTATGAAATGGTCTTCAAGGTCCTTTTTTCCCCAATACCTTTCATTTGTTTGGCATTAAGTATTTTGTCTGATTATACACTCTCACAGGTTCTGATTCTTTAACTTTTAAGCCTTTCATTTAGGTATCACTTTGCATATGACCCCCTCATTTTTCTTCTTATATTCTAAACCAAACTAAAACCTCAAAAAAAAAAAAAAAAATCAAAACCACAAAAACCAGAAATCACTGTTCTTAACCAGACTTGGCAACCCAGAGCAGAAACACTTACTAATCTTCTGCAAATGTTGTTTAGAAAAAAACTCTCCCAATTTAATTTCAGCTTTCATGAGTGTATGTCTGTTCCTTATCCCTTAGCAGGGTTTTCTATTCAAATTCAAGAACCACTGAAAATATGACCACACTGCGTAACACAGAAATAACTGTGTACCGCAGCTATTTTCATCTACCACCAACTTCTGAAGACTTTTTGCTAAGACAAAAAGAAAAAAGCCAAGCTTGAGACACAGGTGTTTCATTCGGGTCTTGAAGGAAAATGCAAGAAAAAGCACTACGCTATTGCAGAGAAATATTTAATGGAAAAGTGTGTTTCTGTACCCAGTTGTCTCCAATGTCATGGCTCCCATATGCCCTCAACCAAAAAAGAAAACTAGATATTGAGTCAATCTTCTAGCTTAAAAGGATAATTAAATGCTCCTTTAATTTTAACCTTAAATCTGATCACCGTTGTATGTTTTTGCAGCAATACCACATCAACAGAAGCACTTCACCACCTACAAGCCTCTAAATCCAGTAAGCACAGAAACTTTCTTGACATTTACACGTTTGCAATGTCTGCAGAAAAAAACTGTAGCACTGAGAACCTGAAAGTAATTGAATTCCCTTTCCAAAATGGGAAAAGGACAAAAAGCGAACAAATAGTGTGAAGTATGAATGCTGACATGATTTCTTTCAATTAAATGCTAATAATTTTTTTTCCCCATAATTTATATCTTTGAAGTCAGCAGGTGCAATTTCCAGTTAATACATCTGACTCAGACTCCCAAACATTTTCTGAGGACAGGACGCAGGGTGCTTTTGGAGCTGATGCATTTGTGAAAAGTTGATCTTATCCATCACAAGACTTGTTTCTCATCAGGTCCTGGGTAGAGGGGAATAGCCTGTTGTGCCTCACAGGGCAGTAACAGCTAGGCACAGCTACCCAAGCAGCAGACTCCACCCAGATCCAGACTGTGAGGAGGTTTCATCCAGACCTTGCTGAGACATCTCTGGTCTTCTCATGAGAGATCTCGTAATTTCTTACTGTCCTCCCAGTCTCAGGGATCCCTTGCAGAAAGTCTCACAGTGTCCCAGTAGTGAAGGTGGCCAGCAGCAGTGCTCAGTCATCTCAAAGCTGTGCGGAGACAGACTGCGGAGCAGACCTCTGCAAAACTACTTAGTGGAGCTCTGGATAAATCGGTAGAAAATTGCCCTATAGACCTCAGTAAACCATAACCGAGCAGGCCTGCTCTAAAGTTTGGCATTACTTGAAATAAGTCATTGCCGCCTGATCAACAGATGAGTCTGAACATCTTGCACTTTGTAATTTCTTCTGTTGCCCTTATCACAGCACCTCCTGGTGCTCTTCGGCAATGCACTAAGTGATGTGAGTAGCATCTGTCACATGCAATTTGTTTCCTCTCCACACAGGGACCAGGGTACACACCTTATTTCGGAAGGGCTTTGGGGGCGGGAGGTGATGAAGTGATGTGTGTGTCTCCGCATTCCCAGGGGCAGGCACGTATCTTAGAGCTGAAGCAGTGTGCCGTGCGCCTGGAAGGAGGAGGCAGAGGGGAGGACCCTCGGGGGACGCAGAGGGCTCCGAGCAGCCTGTCACCATCTCTGCAGAAAGTTCCCTGCTGCCTCAGGGCCTGAGGGATAGACCAGAGTTTTCCACCCAGGTGAGCTTACCAAGGGGCTAGGCCCAGGCAACTGAGCCTAACGTGAAGCCCAGATTAAAGCAAGTTTTACAGCACTGTAAAAAAAAAATGAAATATGTATACATATAATAATAGTAGGAAGAATGGTGCAGCGGAGGCAGCAAAAGGAGCCGAGCGGAGCAGCGCTCCTTCCCCACGTCTGCCTGCAAAAGCACTCGCCCGCCGCCGCATTCCCGAGCATCACCGGCGGGACCGCAATCAAAACTTACCCACGGACGGGGCATCGCCGCGGGACCGGCGCAGGCGACCCCAGGGCCGCCCGGCGATGCGCCGTCCGTGGGCACCGCGCCCCGCTCCACCCTAGCAGCACTCACCTCTCAGGGCCAGGAGCGCGGCCAGGGCTACCGGCACCCACCTCCCGCCGCCGCCGGGGCGCCGCCGCGTCATGCCGGGCCGGGCGAGGGGCGCGGACGGGCCGCCGAGCCCTGCCTGTCCCCGCCGCCGCAGGTGCCGCCGCCGGTGGTGCCGCCGCCGCCGCCGTCCCGGGACCGCCCGCTCGCGGCGAGGCTCTGCCGTGCCCCAAGCCCCGGTCGCCCGGGGAGGGCGGCAGGCGCGGCGGCCGGACCGAGAGCGCAGCCTGGCGGCCCCGAGCCGCCCCCGCAAGCCGCCGGGCTGCGGCTGTCACCCCCCGCACGGCACCGTCCCGGCGCGCAGCGGCACGTCCCACCACCCTCCTCCTCTCTCCGCACAAACTGGGGGTTCCCCCCCCTCTTTCCCTTCCTCGCCAACCCGGTGCCGCTGCATCCGTAGGGATGCTACACGGGCCAGGGTGAGGAGGTGCGGTCCAACACAGGGCTGGAGATTGCACCCCCACTGCTTCTCCGGATCATCGCGGCAGCGTGGGGGCTTCTTCTCTCCAGAGCCTGCCTACAGCTGCATTGAAGACGACAGCAGCAGCACACAGCAAAATATTTGGGATGGGCTGCATGGCACCGGTCACTGCTGCAGTGCACAGTATAAACACTGCAAAGGTATGAGCCACCCTAACTGCCATTTGAGAGGCTGGGAAACACGAGTATTCAGCACTCCTAAGAATCCGACCAAGGTATCTCTGAAGGGAGCAAGGCAGCTCTTGGAGCTAGGGAACCACAATGCTGTGTAACGCAAGAGTCACCAACAAGTTGTGTCACAAGCTTAAGTAATTGCAGTCCTTAAGACTACATGGAGAAATTAATCAATTGAAAATCAGCACACATCAAGTATGTATGGGGGGGGGGGGGAGCAAAGGGGTCCTTTATGAATTTAGGGTGGTCATCTTTGGAAAGGATCAAAGCAGAAAACTAGCACAGACTGACTCCTCACACATGTCCATCTCCCTGTCCAAGTCTGACCACAGTAGTTTTGCTTTGTGAAAATAAGCAATTTCACTAGGAAAATCTTCTAACAATTCTGCCAAATGTCCAATTGCTTCATTTCCCTGCCCAAAGTTTCCTCCCCACCAAAGCACAGCCATGCAGCCTTTGCATCCTGCTTCTCGCTACCTCCCTTCCCAGTCACAGTCTCTGGGAGCGTCCCCATGCCCAGCGTACCCTATTGCTCAGCACTGCTCAGATTTCTGCCTCCTCAGTTGCGTAAAAATATGCACTGATCCTTTACATGGCTGCACTACCACTGTGAAGGGGGTGAGAGGAAGCTGTACCTGGGAGTCAGGATGAAAATGAAAAGCATCAGGGGTAGCAGAACAGAAATCACTATAAGCAACATGAAAAAAGTAAGCTGGTGCCCACGAAAATAGTATGTGGCAAACTAGCTACCATCCCACCAGCCTAGGTTTAGCTCTGCCATCAAGCTTTGGCACAATTCTACTAGAGGACTAGGTGAAAGTGTCACCCCAGCAGTCCAGGTTTACCAATTATCTTTGTTCTAAAAAAAAAACCCAAACAAACTACTAATTCTATTTATAAGGAGCAGTGGTTGACCTGTCCTTATCAGGAAGCAAAATTGCTGACTACCACATGGGCTGGGATTTCATTGAGCAAGTTGTGGCACAGAGGGGTGAGAAGGCACCAGACGGTGATTCAGGGGCTGTACCCCCGTTTCCTACAAGGTTTGTCAGGTACCTGCTGCATGTCCTCAGGCATGAAACCTGACAATGTGGATATCTGACAGTTCTAGCACTCTTGCAAAACACCCTCCACTCCAGCCCTGCCATGGGCAGGCAGACTAAGAGTTTTGCTCCATTAAGGAGCCAGCTCTTGGCAAAAGCTCAAGCAGCTGAAGCATAACACTTCAGAAAACCATCAAAGGGAGAGTCATAGTCCAGCTGTTTCCCTCATTCTCTGGCAATATGGGAATTGAAGTTTTCTCAGACTCTCTCAGACCACTTCTCTTTCCCCCAGTTGACTTGCTGTATTTTTCTTATAGCAAAAGGACAGAGGAACATGATGATATTACTGATTAGAAGCAGTTCCAGGAAACTCCAGTCCTTGTGGGTACATACAGTGACCACCTGCAGGAATACAATGGGTATGTCCACACATACGCGTATGTCTACCTACAAGGAAAGCCCACAAATGTTTCTTACCATATATAATCTCCCTCACCAAAGTCGAGGGCAGAGAGCACAGAGCACATTGGGCACAGTGGCCTGGCAGTGGCTTTACTCCTTAAGATAGCTTCCAAGACTGAAAAGATGCAAAGACAAATCAAGTGAAAATAAGAAAAATTGTGTGTTCTCCTTAGGACTGCTGCAGTGGCTTCCTGATCTGCCAAGACTTGGGAGCTGTCTTGACTTAATGGAAATGAGTGTGTTTTTTAGTATAAGGACACACTGCATTTAGCAAATGCCATCCCAGCTCACTTTGGACTGTTCCCTGCATCCTGCTGTGCATCAGCTGGCAGGTAAACAGCAAAGATCAGTTCACCCTGTATAGTGGCTGAATTAATGTGCTTCCTAAAAAGTGCAGTGAGCATAATGTGAATCTAGATCCTGGTGATCAGAGAAAGCATTTCTGCCCAAAATGGACCCAATCACTCCCTTCTGATGCAAGCTGCTAAGAGCGGGGAGTATTTTAATCAGCTTTTGGATCTGGTCACCACAGCAGATACTGTATCATACCTACAAACCACAGTGACACAGCAAGTGACTTTAGCTGCTTCTTGCAGCAATTGAAAGAACAATCTGTGGCCACACTCCAGAAGGATGGAGCAGCCACAGGGAATAATAATCTTCAGATGTACCAGTCAGTCCTCTCACTCTGGCTCCCTCTTCACCTTATCACCACTTCCAAAAATAGCTTGCAGATTGTACGGAAAGGGTGTGGACAAGGAGATACTGTTCCTGGAACTCTGAATTTCTACTTCACTTGCCCTTGAGCCTTCCCCAAAAAATTAGGCTTATGCCAACCATTTATTCAGCGAGTGCAGCACACTCCAGTTGGTTGAATGCTAGAGCTATGAACAGAGATATTTGCTGCTCTGGCAGTCTATTTTCCTCCCAGTGAGTGTCTATACCTCTTCCTAGGCCCCAGTGGAACCTATCATGGATAGAGAAGATGTGCTTTGCAATATCCCAAGCATCAGATGCTGGCAGGTGACCACTGCAAGACTCAGTTGTGTTACATTGCTCAGAAGAACATCAGGATCCTTAAACTGAATGGCCAAGATACTTCCAAGACTGTGCATGCTAGGCTGGGCAAGGACAGGAAAAAGAAAAGTGAAACCACTCCCACCTTTTTCTTTTTAAAGAATTATGATAAGTAATGCAATTCTCGTGTCTCAAGGAAAAACATCTTTGTGAATCAAATCTGAAAAGAAAGATTTTCTCCAGGATGATGCTACTTTTTTTGCCCCTTTTCCCTTGATGTGACTCTAAAAAGTCCAGTGGGGATGCAGTTGAGGTCAAGAACTACAAGAGATGCCAAGTCTTACATCACCTTTGCTGTCTCCCAGCTTATTACAGGGTTATCTATTGTCAGATGGGAATTTATTGAAGGTGACATTGCTTACAAATTGATCAAAATCAGCTTCAGTGAGGTGTCCTTCCACGATATAAAGAGATGGATAAAATTCACTCAGTTGATCATTAATAACCTCAGTTTGTGGAATTGGTTATCTCCTTTTGACAGAGAAAATAGAGTTTGCAGATTGAACTGGTTTAATCCTATCTGAGAAGAAATATGACAGACATTCAAAGATACACCCAATTAACTATATCTGTACCTTTTCAATAAAACAAATTAAACCAAACCCCTAGATTTATTTTGCTGACCACCTGTGTATACAAAACAGAGGTCACTAGCCAGAAGAAGAGACTGTGCTACCCCTGTCAACTCATCTGTCACAGTCTTTTTTCTCCTGGCCAAAGGGTGGGTTATGTGGGAATAGTCCCAAGTGCAAAGGTTTTTGTTTTTCAAAGCCTGCACACTGGAACAAGCAGGAGTATCACCACTAGGAGAGGTGGGTATTTATTACTTTACTCTCATTTGCCTCACTGCCCAGTCTCAGGTGCACTCCAACGCAGGTTCTACGAATCCAAAGTGTGGCAAACTTAGGCTTTCAGGCAAGCACTGTCCATGTGCGGGTCAGGATAATCTGATCCCTGTCGCAGCAATGACCTATGCTTGCATGTCACCCATGTAGTGATACCTCAGGAATATCTGAGGGAAACCAGCCCTGAAACAACAAGCAAATTTCCACACTCCTTCAATGCCAGATGGCAGAAGCGGATGTGTCCATGGAAACCCGGGTGGATTAGGCGTACTTTCAAACTTCTCAGCACTGAAATAGGCCACCACGTTGTTTCTTTTTCCAAGGCCACTTCTACCCATACCTCCAGAGTCATCTCTCTCTGCTGTCCCTACTTCATGGGAAGGGACCCATACAGCCAAGCTCCACAAGCACCCAGGAGCTAGGCTGAGAGACTGCTTCCCTCAGACGTTTCCACCCTCATAGGCACACTGGTTTGTCTGGTTTCTTCATCACCATGCCTGTAGTACCTGTGACATGCTGATTTTGCTTAGTGCACTGCAAGGTGCTCCTTTCCTCAGAAGTATGGGGAATAAATACATTTCTATGCACCCCACCTCTGCAATTTCTGACTATCCTGGAGCATCTCAATGCACTTTGAGCTAATCCACAGTCTTGTCAAGTCTCAGCCTATTTCTACATCATCTGAGTTTTCCTTGACTGCTCCCACAGCACAACAAACCTACAAAATCTTCTCGTCTCCCTCTTCCTCCTGCCTGGAGTACCCCTGTGTTCTAATGTACATCTACAAAACCAAAGCTTGTTATTCAACATTTTGAAATCCTTCATCTCTCCCACTCACTCCCCCAAATCCAGTCCATGCAGACATGTTTGGAATAAATTGCTCCCCAAGGCTTCTACTAAATCTTTTCTTTGGACATGGTGTTCTTTCTGTGGTTAACAACTGTCCATTGTACCCTGTCAGAGACACGCTGACACCCCTGTCAGCAAACAGTGGATGCTGCATCCACATAAAAGCATTTCATAATTATGCCATTTACATAATAACTTCCTAAACTGTACATCGACAGATTTCCCCAAGTCATTACAGTAGGTGAATTAAATCTTTCACTAAACACCAGCAAATGGTGGTAAAGATAACACTTCTAAGTAGCACACCCCATAAAGCTCAGAAAATGGAAACCAATCAGTCTTCCTTTTTTTTCCCCAGATGTGGGGTGAAGCCCCACAATTAAAGTTTGAGGCCGTGTTCCATGCAAGCAGTGGAGCTGGTTAGATGGTTTCCATGGACACGGCCTTGGGTTGCAGGGAGTACAGGGTTGAGACGGTTTGATAATGTGCAGGTGCTGGATTCCTGGATGTTGTTGTAGGAATATGTTTGTGTTGTGTGTGAAGTTAGTTAGCTCAATAAAAGGCTGCCTGCCACGCTGAGCAGGCAGA